ACCCATGAACCTCCAAGTAGGGTACTCACGGTTTACGCTTTGGGGTTTTCGGGCTTCGGATTACGGGCTTTGAGGGGCAGACCGTGGGACCAGGGCTTCCAGAGCCCTGAACTCCGAACCCTAAACAGTAAACCCCTAAGCCCTAAGCCCCGAACCCTTGAATGGACCCAGACCCCTTAAGCTTCCTAAGATAGGGGCCTAAATAATTACCAATAGTGTTTTGGGGGTTGCTTATAATCATGCTTACATAGTATCATATAGTATAATGTGCACCTATTCTGATTCTTGAGGCCCCTTCTTATACCCCTCAACCGTAAACCCTGGACATGGCAGGTTTGGAAAGCCAGGGTCGCAACAAGGCGCGCGACGGGCGCCACTTTGTTGCTTTCCTTCGGACATGCTTACGCTTTGACTTATTTCCGTTCAGAGTGGGCCAGACCTTGCACTCAAGAGCTCCAGCGCACCCTAAACCCTAAACCCTAAACCCCTAAACCCTAAACCCTAAACACTAAACACTAAACCACACCAGGCCAGCAGCCGTCTTTGCTGCAATCGGTGGGGAGTTCGCAGCCGATGCTCGACTTAAGCCTTGCTTCCTGAAGCTCTGGCACATACGGCTTCAGCTCTATGTGGCCTGCAGGGTTTAACGGTTTCGGGTTTGTGGTGTACGGTCCATCTAGCAGATCGCGTGAAAGGTTTAGGGTTTAGGGGCCTGATGTTGCAGATGTGGGACGGTGTTACTCAGTACGCATAGGGTTGGGACTTTGGGAAGTTCAAGGTCACACACGATGGGGGCTACTATAAAGGTTACTATAAGGGGTACTATAAGGGTTACGGCAAAGGTTAGATGTAGCGCTCTTTGGAAGATGGATGAGGTGGGGTGCCGAGCTCTGAGGTATGCATGTGTACAATCACCGCTGTGTTCAACTGGCTACAAAGAAGTAATGGGGCTACGCTAGGCTCCTTTGTTGTGCCGTCGCTGACAAGCAATTCCTCTTCTCTCTTTGTAGTTTTCTCAAATCAAGTTCTTAAACCTGGAACCCTGGAAAAAACAAAGCTACACATTCCGGGCCCTACTAGTCCCTGAAATTCAGGGTCAAAGGTTTTTCTGGTGTAAGGTTTGAAACTAGTTTTGAACATCGCCAAACCCTAAACCCTAAACCCAGTGGTCAAGGCCACTACACTAAAAAAAAAAAACAGTGGTCCAAGTTATATGCACAAAATGAGTCGCTGAGAGCTGGTCGACTGCTTGAGAGTTCCTAAAAGCCCTCAACCCTAAACGAGTTATTGAACCTTTATAGTAGCCCTCATAATAACCCTCATAGTAACCCTTATGGTAACCCTTTTGATAGTAACCTTTAAAGTAGCCCTTATAGTAGCCCTAATGGTAACCTTTATAGTAACCCTTATGGTAACCCCAGGCCAAACACCGAAGGCTCTTCTAACCCGCGCAAGACCAGACACAGGACAGCCGAAGAGCCTCCGATAGAAGCCTGAACCGTTACCACTATGTAATTCCTTGGGGCCTTACCGTAGGGCTGCCAATATAAGTATAGTATTATGCTATGACATAACCCAAAACATCCCAAAACCCCATTCTAGCTATCAGGGCCCCTGCACAAAATAATGCAAGGCCCTGTGCTCTTTCGTGGCCAAAGAACTGCACTGCGAATGTTCCTTGAGCCTGAGACGAACTAAGACCAAGATCCAAGCTGTCTGCACTTCCCCTAGGGCTCCAAGTATTCAAATAGTACCTACTTTGGGGTCTAAAGTCTGTAAATAGTACCTGCTTTGGGCTNNTGGGCTATTTGGAGCCCCAGGGTTCTCCCAACAACCCAAACCCCTTCGAACCTTCAGCGGCTTGCAAAGTAAGCTCTGATTGAACCCACCGCGCTTTCGAAGCTCAGACTCTTGTGAACCCCGAAAAGCCTGGACCCCAACCCTCCAGGGGTTTAGGGTTTATGGTTTAGGGCTGAAACTTAAATTAAATCCTCAATATCCTAAACCCAGGCAGGATCCGGCAAAGCTCGTTTCCTGGCTCAGTGTCGCGGGCAAGCTCCAGCCCGAGCTGCTGAAGCAGGCGCCGACGGCTGACGGTTTAGGGTTGCTTCAGGGGTTCCTTCAAGGGTTCCGATGAGGGTTACGACAGGGTTCCATCAGCGGGTTCAGTGTGCAGGGCTTGAAGTTTCTATTAAAATAATTGTAAAGCCGAAATCCCAATTCATAATGAGGCTTACTGGTAGTGCGGTGTACCTTATTTAGGGATCCGGCTCTTCCGGGTTGTATATTAGGGTTCTTTTCTGAAACTCTTTTCGGATTTTAATCCTGGGTCTTATACGCTTTCCTTGGGCCGTAGTTGGAAGGTTTTGCAGCTTTTCCGGCAGGATACTTGGAGGATCGAAGTACGGCTGCAGAGAGGGCCTTGCGGCTGAACAGTTTAGGGTTTAGGATTTAGGGTCTACTTGCAAGGTCTGCCCGTCTGTCGGTCCTTAAGGCTTTTGGGCTTAAGGTTTTGAGGGGCTGAAGGCGCCTCGTTTTGAAGGCTTGTTGCTTTCTTCTTTTTGGGGGTTTTGGGGGACGAATGCGAGCTTTTCCTCTGACTTGATATGCTCAACTCCAGCCTTGAAGCTTTAAGGCTTTACCCTGCCCCCCCC